CTTGCTAGTTATTACCTGTTTGGAAAAATACAGTTTTTGATGAAATGCCCAAATCCTCATGCAGCATCCATTGGGCCGAAGCGTTCGTTATGAATAGTTCGCCCGCACCAATATGGCTGCACGGCTGATGTATTGCGAATTCGGCAGATGGTCATGACTTAAGGCACAGATAAAGATCGCCGCCCAATCGCTGAATATGGATGCCAACTGTGCCGAAGTGCTGCCGCAGGTGGTCGTTATGTTACGCCAGCTCGGCTCGGCGATCGTGGATGAATAGCTGCCCTGAATAGAGAGCTCACTGGCGCTATTTGCCCTTCATTGACCGAGTCTCCGAGGTCAGGAGGGTGGGGTCGTCGGCATTCGTGATCGAAACTGCAGTGCGCGCGTTTTCGTACGACGTTATCATCGTGTAGTTGGTCACATTCGTCGCATTGCGACCAAAAGACCGTGTCTGAAGTGCGCCGCTTTTGTCTCGGTTAGCAGGCTCCAGCGCCTGGGTAGGATGCGTTTCATGACTGCGATTTTCACCTCCGTGCGCCACGCGGCTTACCCGTAACCTTGCGCTGGTCGATGGCCTAAATGCGTTCCCCCGCTCTGCCGTATGGGCGTCTATGGCCGCTGGAGTCGGCTCGCCCTCAGACGCCAGTAAACAGCAACCATCCTGCCGGGTCCTGCTCTGGGCACGGCAATCTAAGTAATGACAGGAAGCAGATGGCTTTAGTGCCCCGCTCCAAGCAGCTTTCTTCGTTTCACCGTAATGGCCGCTGCACGGTCCGGGCGACCATGGCGGCGCGGAGGCGGCGGCGGGTGCCGCGGCCGGGCGGCACCGCGGCGTGAGCCGATCCCGGGTGGTCACCCTGCATGACGTGCCAGTCATGCCGCGTGACGGCAGACGGGAAGCGGCGCCACCACCGACCGCCCATGCGTGTTCCGTTGGTTAGGTGCTGCTGATGATGATTGGTGAGCCGTCTAGGTGTGTGTCTTGCATTTGGTATGGCGCGGCGTCGCGTTTGCTCTGTGTTCGTAGGCTGCTTTTCGGCCCGCGTGATTTGGAATGGGAAGTCGGGCTGGTGACGCGTGATATTTGGTTCCTCTCTGGTCATTGTCCGCATGCTGCTCCGCGTCCCGCCGCTGTCGTACGGTGTGATCCTGGAGCCGGTCCTGCCGTGTGTGTCTCCCGGCCACCCGCGGCAGTCGGCTGTCCAGCTGGCCGGTGCGGTCGGTCGGTCTGGCTCGGCGCGCCGAGGCCCGGAGACGTGCCTGCCCTCCAGCCGGGGCCGACGTCCCGGAACGCGAGGCAGCACCAGCCGCTGTCGTCACGACCCGGCCGGCCGCGCCGCCGCTGCACGCCAGAGGTCACGGCCGCCAGGTCGGGGCCTCCGCTGCCGAGCCAGGGAGACAGGGTCGCACTGGAGCAGGTCCCCCGAACGTGGGCCAGACCAGCTTCGGGTCATGTGGTGTTGTGTTGGGTCATGTCCGCCGCCACTTGACCTTGAGCGTGGGATATGGTCATGGATATAACGATGTTAAGAAATGCTAACGACGTTCGTTTGTTGGCACATGTTGCGTCTTTCGTCTCACCGCCGACAGCAACACGGCAGCTGGCCGATGTGTTCCGAGCGGCCGCCTCGCGTTGCTGGCGAGCGGCTGTCACCCGGCCCTCGCCCGCTGCTCTATAACGGGCCGGTCTGCGCGCCCCTCGTCGCGCCCGTCGCAGCCCCCACATGGCCGCTGAGTCAGAGGCGAGCGGCGCCGACGGTCGGCACCGGCGCGGGCCGGCAGCCTCGCAGCGCTCCCCCCCGGGCACGCGGAAGGCTTGCGGCCCCCGCTGTTTATTTACGGCGAGCGGCGCGGCGTGCGCTGTTGGGGCAGGACCGGCGCCGGTCGCCGCTCTGTGGCCGCCGCCGCCGCCGCCGCCGCTGCCGCTGCCGCTGCCGCTGCCGGCACCGGCCTGCCGTTCAGGTGTTTTCGCCGCCGCCCCTGTTTGCCGGCCGGTGGCCGGAGCGCCTGTTTTTCTGGCCGCCGCGCCGCGCCGCGCCGCTGCTGTCAGCTCGCTTGTTTGGCGGCTGTTGGCCTTGGCTGCGCGCCGCTGCCAGCCGCGCGGGCGTGCTAAGCCGGGCCGGCGCAAACTGCTGGCCGATGTGTCAGCGAGCAAGGTCACCCATGACGTCTGGTGCTGCCCCCTGTCCGCTTTCCCTCGGCGCCGCGACCCTCTCCCCGCGGCGGCGGCGGTCCTCGCTACCGCTCCCGCCCCTCTCTCCGCCCTCTCTCCGCCCGTTCTGGCGGGCGCGACCCGATGAAGAGACATCGGGGGGGGGGGGGGGGGGGCGGGTCAGTGGTCGTTTTTGGCGGGCAGACGGCCGTCGGCGCTGCTGACCTTTGCTGTGCGCCCCGGCACGGCCGTCCGCCCCGCTTTGTCCCGTACGTGATCGCCGGGGCCGAGAGTGGCGCACAAAAAGACGGCGGCGCGCGTGGCCGGCGACCCTGCCGGCCGTGGCAACGATGCAGCGGCCGACAGCGGCTCCCCGGCAGAGCGCAGCGCTCCATATGGATTACTGCAGCTCAAAAGGGATACCGATCGGGATGGTGGTGCTGTTTTCCGCGTTGGCTTGTCAGGTGTTTTCGCGCGCGGCCCACCTCTGTGGATGTCGGTAAAAAGCTGTATTTTTGTGAATGAGGCACACCGATTTAAGTGTGCCCTCTCTTGTCTCCCGTTGCTTTTGAATCGCTTCCTTTCTAGCGTAGCAGGCCGTGGGCCAACTCGGGGTACTTCCCATGTGGTTTATGGGGTCAGCCTATGCGTGCTTGAGTTTCGCCTAGTGTCTGATAAGGGAGAGAACGGTTGGGGTAGACGCAGGAAGCATATTTCTTTTTTTGCATTTCTTTCGCGTGTTTTTCATTCGAACCTTCCTGATTTTCCCACGGCTGTCACCGTGAACGGCTGCAATGCGGACAGGCGAGTCGCGGTCTGTTCCCCACCTAGGCCACCAGATCCGGGCTCGGCTCAGCCCAGATGGCACCTGAGGTCAACCCCCACATTCCGCGTCTCCCCTCAATCTCGGCGCCTGTGCTGATATCAGGTCGCTGCCCAGTCGGCGGCGGCGGCGCGGCGGCGTGCCGGCCAGGCGGCCACCTCTCGCGGTGCGGACCCACCGGCCGCTCCGCCGGCCATGTCAATCGAGGCCCCCTCCTCCGCGCGCCGCCGCCCTGCCGCGCAGCCGCCGCCGCCGCTCGCCGCAGTATGTTGAACTTTGAGTTGCTCGACACTTGAGCGGGCGGCAACGGCGAGGCGGCGGCGCGCGCGCCGCTCCCCTGGGGCGGCGGCGGCGTGACGGACGGCGCCTCCCCCGCCGCTCTGCCTCTCTCCCCCCCGCTCTCTCTCCGTGCACGGGGCGGCGGCGGCGGGCGGCCGGCGTCCTGCTGCGCCGGCCGGGCGGCCATGCATGGGCCGCCCGGCGGCGGCAGAGAAGAAAAAAACGGCCGGCAGGAAATTCCGCAGGTACCCCGGCTGGGCGGGGGGCGAGACCTTATGACACGCTGTTTTTGTCGCTAGCTGCTGTGTGCGGCGGAACGGGGCCCGGCCGACCGGCCCGACCGGCGAGGCGCTCGGGCCACGAGCCGCTCTGGATCACCTCCGCTTGCTCCTCACACACGCGGGCGGCACTCCCTGTGTTTGAGTAGCTCGCTGCGATGTTGTCCAGCTGGGATGGGTGGTGTGGTTAGGAGTTTACTTTCTCGCCGCTCCTCGCGCCCCTGGCATAGCTTAGTTGCAGCTTCATCGGTACGGCAAAGCGTCAGCGGCTTCCAAAGGCTTGATTTGTGTCACAAAAAAGCGAAAAAGCTGATGTCCTGACCGCGATGAGAACGTGATGACGAAGCGTGTTTTTTGAACTCTGTACGCGCGTGGAGGCGGGCTAACAGACGGCGTTTTTGTCCGATAAGTGCAGGAAAATGCATCCTCCATGACATTGTCTCGACCTCAGGGTGCCCGAGGTGGACCTGGCCTCTCGCACCCGCGGCTGACCCATGTCTGCTGATGCTCCCAAAACGCGAGTTCGTTCGCGGCCTTCGGACTCCATGCCAACGTCGAATCAACGATTCTCTGCCACCGTTTGTTTGGACGGAGTGGTGGCTTGAACCGCGGTCCGACCACGTGGGGCGGCATCTGGCGACCTTGCCGAGCCGCTGCCGGCGCGTACCCCGTGCGCCGCCGCCGCCGCTGACCGGCGGGTCGTGAGAGGGAGGCGAGGGGAGCGGCTGTTTTTTTGCCGCTGCACTGCTGGCGCGGCAGGAGCCATTGTCTGCGGCCGAGCCGGGTCTGGCTCGGTGTGGTCGCACCGGTCCCGGTCCCGTTAACGGCGCCGCCGCTGACCGCCGCCAGAGGCCGTGCCGGCCGGCTACAGGGGGCGCCGCTCGCCTCTCGCGCAGGCCGCGGCCCGCCGCCGGCCGGTGGCGCCGACACGGATTCTCCGGCTGGCTGCGTTGCAGTCATGTGTATGCATCAAAATACCGTGGCATGGAGATGGCATCAGTGCGGGAATACGGAGCAGGAACTATTACTAATCCGTGGCACAGTCTGTCATGGTCTACCTGTCACAGTTATTGCTGTGTTGTTGGAGGATACAACACCCTTGGTGCTTCACAGCGCTTATATTACAAAAAGGCCCTCGATTTAGTGAGCTTTGCTCTCGTCAACGCAGTTACGACGTAGGGAACACGAACGCGAGCCATCTTTTATGCCACTGTACAAAATGCTCTTCGTTCCTTCAAAGCGCAATATCCGCGAGGCTCACTAACAGCGCTGAGCGGATCGGCTCACTACCAGCTGCCGCTCTGTGCCACATTCACGACACATCGATCCGCCCTACGAATGCTTTGCTGTGTGACATGTATCCATTCCTCCCCCCCCCCCCCCCGCTCCTTCCCTCGGCGTCTCTGTTACCGGCACGTCTGTCTGTTGGCGCCGCCGGGCCTGACGGTGGTGCTCCTCTGCCCGACAGGCTACATGAACTGGCAGCTGGGCGGCGACGGAGTGGAGGTGCCGTACGTGCCAGCCACAGAAGCCGGCGGACCGCAAGGTACTGTCCCCACACCTGCCGCGCACTCCCACCACCTGTACGTGCGCGGGCGTGTGTGTACGTGTGTTTATACGCAGGTGGTACATTCTTTTACCCTCGCCCCCGACTCCGGGTGGAGAAAAGGGAGAGGGAGAGGACTCGTGTGAATTGCTCCGCCCTGTTTTCTGTCTCTTATTGGGAGGCAGCCTGGTCTCTCCAAGAATGGCCATGGCTGGGTCGGAGAGTGATTGGTCGGGCGTGCCTCTGTGAGTGCTTGTGTTCGGGGATGGGGACGTGAGAGCGAAAGGGGCCTGCTCATGCGGTAGATGAACGGCGAGTGGGGAAAGGAGAGGAAGCGGAATAGTGGCAAGTAATGCAGAGATAGCGAGAGTGTCCGTTTCGGGACGGCGCACCGGTTTCGACAGTAACACTCCTCGCTCCGTCCCTTGCGCCGTAGAAATCAGGTGATTTAGCTGTTCGTTATGACGGGGTAGGAGGGGGGCATTATTACTGTGACCGTGAATATAGCCATTGCGAGGGGGCGGTTGCCATGACGACGGGCCCCAAAGCAGGCAGTTAACTGGTCAGGAGCCCGCGGCATAACGGGACGTGGCCTTGAGGATGACTAGCAACAATGATAATCAGCCTTGGAAACCGGGAACAATGCGTGGTGCAGCCCTTCCTGCTTTATAAAGTGCGTTAGCTGCCACGGCTGTGAGGACGATAAACAAGCTGTGTCGGGTTTGTTGGCGACGCTGCGTTGCCCTGGGAGGCGACGGTTGGGGATTTGTCTGATTTTGCGGCGACGGGTGGCTGATGGATACTTGATCATGTCTCGATAGTCTGAATGACCGGCCGGGGTGGAGATGTGACTGACGATTTCGAGATTCGGCTGGTGCGTGCTCCTCTTCATGATTACTTGCAACAGATGCCGCCGCAGCTGGTGTGTTACTGGTCAAGCGACCTTCTTACTGGTTGGAGCCGCCGGCACGGCCTGAAGCGGAGGAAGGATTTTTCGCCCACCCTTAATAAGAACAAGCCGCCTAAATGCCTGGGCTCGAGCTGCTGGATGAAAAGAATGGTGTCTGGCTCGTTCTTTAAACTATCCCCTTCAGCACGTTTCCTCGTAATGCAAATGATATTGTAAAAATGGCCTGTAGACAGGTTGTGTTGCTGTTTTTGGCATGCAAACATTTTGCAAATCGGCCCCAGATTAAAGTTGTTGGACGACATACGTTTGGATTTACACTCGCAGCGTAATGTCAGATTGCATCCCACGACAGTAGCGTGCGGATAGCAAAACAACACTGAAACTGAAAATGAAAACATCGACTACACCGAAAGCATTGTAATGGCTAAGAGTGGCGACGGGTATTCCGCCACGTTCTCGCACCTGTCTCGGCCAGGGAACGTGGGCGACGACGCTGCATGCCACTACTGCGTGTGTGCTGAGGTGGACGCGACTAACGCGGTGCGTGAGAGTGCGGATGAGTGCTGCTGGCGGCGCTGTGTCGGCCGTGTCGAGTGCTGGACGCTGTGGTGGCGGGCGGCAGCCGAGCGCCGCTGGCGCCGACCCATCTGCTGGCTGTGGCGTTCGCGTGTTCCCCTCCCGGCGGGGTGGCCCTGCCCGGCGCGGCTGGTCGCCGAACAGTGCCTCCGCACGGCGCACCGCCCCCGACCTGCACACCCCCTCACTGGCGGCGGCGGCGGCAGCGGCGGCTCGCGTGCGGTCGCTGCGTGCCGGCACTGCTCTGTCCGTCGCCCGCACGGCATCGATTCGACTCCCGGAAGAGCGGCCGGCCGGCCGGCCGTGCACGCCACCCGCCGGCTTCGGCGCCACCGACACAGAGCGGAGCAAGCCCCGCCGGCGCAGAGAAGACACGAGAGGAGCGTGCGCGGCACCATCCCGTGGCATCCTCCGCCCCGTCCCGCCGCCCGCCGGCCGCGCGCCCCGTAGAGTGGAGCATGCTGGACTGCTGGCCCGGCTGCGCGCGTCCCGCTTAGTCAGTCGCATGAGCGCCGCAGGCCGCGGCCCCGCTCCCCGCCGCCTCCGCATGCTCCCACTCCTGATTTGCCTCCGGGCGCTGTCCGTGGTACCCGAGTTGTCGTAGTTGTGTGCGCTGGCCGGTTTTGTTCGGACGAGAGAGCCGTCCGGTTTGTGTTGGCTGCCGGTCCGGTGGCCGTCCGGTCTTCGCCGGACCGCCGGACCGCCGGACCGCCGGACTGCCGGACCGGTGCCTGTAGAGCCGTAGCTCCAGCGCCGCCGCCGCCAGTGTGTTTTGTTTCGCCGGGCTGCGACTGTACGTTCTGATTTGTTTTTCCTTTCGCCGCTTGCGATCCGCTTACGTTTGTCCTCTCTCGGGTGTTGCAGATGCGTTCCTGCACCGTGCGCTCAACGTGCGCTTCCAGCAGCTGCTGCAGCAGCAGCGCTACGACCAGCTGCTGGCGCACGCGCCGCCCCCCCCCCGGCCCGCTAGGCCTGCCCCTGCTGCTGCGGCGCGAGTCGCCCACCTCGCCGTGCAAGCAGTACGCGTGCGAGAAGTGCGGCCGCCAGTACGCCTCGAGCGGTAACCTGAAGCGGCACGTGAAGTACGAGTGCGGCGTCGAGCCGCAGTTCCAGTGCCCCGTCTGCAAGAAGAAGTTCCAGCACCGGCACTCGGTCAAGATCCACGTGGTGTCCACGCACAAGTCGGAGAACCCCGAGCTGATCAAGGACTATCTGATGTAACGTGCGCGCGCGCGCGCGCGCGCGGCCGCCGCCGAGGTTGACACGGGTCGGAAGCTGGGCCTGCACGGGTGTGGGGTGGAGCGCGGGACTGCTGTGATAGGCACCCGCCGACTCCGCCAGCTCCCCCTGGCGGGGACGGACGTCAGCTCAGGGCGCCATGTGGTTCCTGGCCCCAGCGGGGGCGCTCTTCAGCTCAGGGAATATGCAAGTACATAGGCGGTAACAGGTAGTGCGGCGCCCGGAGCGCCGGCCGCCGCGCGTCGTCTCCCCGGTGAGATGCGGGCCTGTGTGTCTCCTCCGTCAGGCGGTTGTGGTTAGAATTCCGCAGCGGCGATGAACTTGTGGCGGGGCGTTCGCGGGCGCTGATCGAATATTGCCCGTCGCCTTTCGAGCCGAACATCATGTGTGACCAAATTATTCGGAAAAAGTGCCTGCGGTGGCTTCCAGTCCACTGCCCCGTTGCCGTTCTTTGGAGCACGTGCGTTCAAAAGTCACCCCATATCTTGCTGGCGGCACCGGGGCCGCCGTGACGCCCTGCTTGTCTCGTGGCTAGTGGGTTGGCGTCTGGTCCAGACCGCGAAGCGACTTGCCGGCTCTGGGGCAGGTGTGTTCAGACTCACTCGCCACTTTTTTGCGCGGCGACGTGGTTTTAGTGCAAAGCCCCAGCTTTGCTCGTGGTGCCAGTGCCCCCGACGACGACCCGGTTTTGGGGTCAACGCGCGGCCAAGATCATCTCAGGGACGGTCTGCCTGGACGCGTGGTGACACAAGCGACATGCATGAACCATCAGGAATTTTAATTGCATTTATTTTACTCTCGGTAGGATTCGGTAGCGATGTTCTTGTGCGGGGATCGCAGTGAACAAGACAGTTGTGTTCGCGAGAACGATGCTAGGGTAAGCCTCGCACGCCGGCTGGCGCCTCGGCGTCATTTGTGCGTTACGCGCGCGCGTGTGTGTGTGTGTATGTGTGTGTGCGGTGTGTGAGGCCGGCGGCGTCGGCGGGGGCTCCTGGACGGACGCGGCCTGCCGTCGTCGGCGGCGGGCGCGTCGGGTCGCCACCGACTCGGGCGCGCCTCGTCTCAGGAGTGCCGTCGGCCGCCGCCGACTGCCGGCGGCCGCCAACCGTCTCAGGGAACGGCACGTGTCCGATCGGGTCTAACGCCTCAGGGAAGTCGGCCACTGCCGACTCGTTATCTCTCAGGGATGTAGGCGATTGCGTCGCGCCGTGCTCGACTTGAAGAGGTCTCGGATGTAATTACTGTCGCGGAATCGGCCCGTCGCTGCCGTCCGCCCCCCAGAAGGGCGCTGTTGTGCCAGGGGCTAGTTTCAAGAAGCGAAAACGACTTAACGAAAACAAATGTGATCTGCCAACTTCAAAATTCTGCCGTGGAACCGTGCAGGCTGGATGGAGGTCACCTTTACTTAGGTTGGCTCGTTCTTCGTGAATTGGAGGTGCCACTGAAACTGGGTGGGTGGTTCATGTGCGCCCGTATGAAGTGGCCTGAAATTCGTTGTTTGGTGCTTTTGGTGGTTTCGTTCTTTGAGACTAGTCCCGGGCCTGGATGAACCCGCTCTCTGACACCGGAGGTCCCTTGACCTGGGCAGCAGCGCACTCCCAGTACAAAGACCTACTTGCCTGGCTGGCAGGTACAATGAGCGGCCTTCGGATGGCGTAGCGTAGCAACACAACTCAGGAAACGCTTGGTGCGGACGCGGCGCGCGGGCAAACGAAGGCCGCTTACGTTGAGTGGTGGCCGACTCCACGCCTCCATCGCGTGCTGTTGTTTTATTAGTACTGGTACTTGGGTGCAAACACGATTGACGCGTTGGTAATTTTACGTCGGTTACTGTTGGACGAGTAATAGTATACCTGTGCCGTTGAAGCGTGCGCGAGTGGCCTAGTTAGTGGGGCAACTGGCGCCAGTGCCTGCGGGTCGGGTCCGGTCGGGCGTGACCAGACCGGCGGCCGCCTGGCGCCCTCAGCGCGCCGCGCTGTTTTGTAGCAGATAGCTCGGCAGCCGACCGGCCGCCGTGTCTAGTGTGTATACTCGCCGACTGTCCAAATCAAAAGGTGCCTGCCTGCCATGATCGCGTTGTGAGGGGGAGGGGGGCGGGCCGCCCGCCTCGGCCGCCTTGCAAGCTTCAACGACGCGCCGCGCGCAGTCTCGCGCGTTTGTATTTTGTGTACGTGCCGTCGCCGGG